ATAATAAAATCTTACTAATTTCCTAATGCCTACAGAATAAAGTTCAGTTACCTTTGTTTGCTGAAAGAAACAAGAAGGAAAGCCACCCCAGACCTTTGACTCTAAACCACTCCCCACTAAAAGGAATAGGGCTCCTCAGAGAAATGGCTAATTTCAGATCTGGAAGAGGATAGGTAAAGCCTGAGCTTGGAATACCTCGTTATGCCAGAAAGAAAGGAGGAGCTCAAAAAAATGATAAGAGCATATCAAAAGGACATAGGAGCCACCCTGAAGGGGCTCCCAAATCTGGGAAATTAGAGCACCAAAATAATTAAGTACAGTGATGAGTCATAAACTAGTAAGAATTGCAACTGAGTTCATACTAATAGGAAGCGTTGGAGGAAGGAAAGAGGGAGCCCAAAGAGAAGGAAAGGAAGGAAGGAGAGAGGGAGGGAGAGAAGGAGGGAGGGGAGGAAAAGCCAAAGACCAACTGCTAAACATGGAGGGTGTGCTGGAGTGGGAAAATCCTCATTTCACAGTTATTATGGTGTAGACTAAATCAGGCAAGGATCAACAATGGATGATAAATCTAGGAAAAATTTGTTATAAGGAACAGGATATTTGCATGGTCTTATAAGTATCTGCCTATTAATTGCAAAGGAGGAAAAACTATTATTATACAGTTAAAATATTGAGCTATACCTTGACCTTTGACAAGGTTATCAAAATGAACATCACCTATGAATAACAAAAAGATATGGGCCTGCAGATGTGATTACTTGAGGACACAACATCCTCTAGGCAACACTGTAACCAAGAAGGCATAATAATCCCAATCAAAACCCAAGAAAACATCAGACAAAATACATGAGGCATATTGTAGGGAAATATAAGCAGCAGGAGATTTATATTCTCCAAAAATTTCATAAATTACAAAGAAATTCTGTGGATATCTTCCAGATTAAAAGAGGCAAAGGCAACATGAAAATTAAATACAATATGTAATCCTAACTGGACTATATACTGGTGAGAGGGAAATGCCACAAAGGATATTATCAGATCAATTGACAGAATTGGAATTATGCATAGTAAATTGTATCAATGTAAATTTACGAAGTTGATAACTGTGGTTACCTAAGAGAATATCCCACTTCTTCACTGAAGTATTCAGAGGTGAAAGATCATAACTGATACTCAAATAATTCAGGGGGGAAAAATTACATACATAAAGAGAAAGAGAGAGAAGACAGGAAGAGAAGAGAGAAGAAAATGAGCAAATGATAAAGCAAATAGAATAAAATGTTAACAATAGGTAAATCTGGATAAAGAGTATGCAGCTGTTCCTTATTATTTTATTATCATGTTTTGTAAGTTTGAAATTACTTCAAAATAAAAAGTTTAAAATGATATACTAAATGTATTATATACATAATATAACATATAAGGTATATACATATATATACTAAAAACATATGTACTATATGTATTCAACTATATCTAAACTGTCCAATACAGTAGCCACTAGCTACATGAGGCTGTAAGGTTAGTCTAAGCTGAGATGTGCGGTTAGTGCAAAATACACACCAGATTCAAAAACTTAGTATACAACAGAGAAATGTTAGATATCTCATTAATAATTTGTAAATTGATTACATGTTGAAATATTTTAGATATATTGCATCAAAGGAAATACATTTTAAATTTTCACCTTTGTACTTTTCTTAAATGTGGCTACTAGAAACTTTAAATTACATAAGTGATTCATATTTGCAGTGGACAGGGCTGAGCTAGACAATCAAGAATCTCTACAATGAGGTATTATACTATCTTTGTAAATTTCTCCCTCAATTTCTCTCTGCTCTAAACAGTCACTTAAAAAGTCACTTGGTTTTAAGCTACTTAAAGGTAGGGATTGTATTTCATTCACTACTATACCCCCAGTAACTAGTCATAGCAAGTGTTATAAATACCTGTTCATTGAAAGGCAACATGGAAAGGAATGAGGGAGGGCAGGAAGAATGAACTTGTTTCCACCTCTAAATCTTTGTTTATACTGTAACTCCTTCTTAGAATGGAACTTTTCTCCTCCTCTCCAAATTACACACATTCTTTAAAACCCCATCCCATACCCACTTTCTCCAATGAAAATCCCACTCACATAGGTTCATTCTGATGTTTCCTCCTCTGTACTACTACATCCTTCATTATCTATTCCATTTACTGTGGCACTTAAGCATATAAATTCTTTGCGAAACAAGTTAGGTCTCATATTTTCTTTTATCTTCCACAGTGGCTAGGAAAGTGCTAACTGTGTCAGTTGAGTAGTGGTGGCAAAGGCAAAACAGTGCCAGAGGAAGGGAAAATGATTGAAATTTGGGAATATTTGGCTCTACTGTCAGTTTTGACATCTACTCTGTTGCCTTGGATAAATCACTTAATCTCTGTTCCTACATGCTCATTTTTAAAGTCAGACAGAGCTGATGACTATCAAAGAAGCCATTTTTCTAAAATTCTAGAATAATTAAATCCATTTTTCTTTGGCAGGATTATTGATATATACCAGTAAAAGGAAATCTAATAGATTAATGTTAAATCACAGCTAATTCCTTAAGAAAAAAATGGCAACAAAGTTTACAAATGCCTGAAGTACTAAATGCTGATCATCTTTCTGGCAAATAACTTTAAATTCCTATTTCTCTTCAAAGGACTCTTAAGCAAAGTATTAGCTACATACATACTGTAGCTACCTCAATTATTTTGTTGCAGATTTTTCAAGCCCCAGAGACACCTTTCAGAAAGGTAATTTTAAAAAAAGAAGAAAAAGAACCAGAAACTAAGTATTCTAAGTAAAGTACCCTGGGACCTTACTGGTGATATTCAAAGGCTCATAGTTTTAACTGATTATAAGCACATTGTCTGTTTCTTCTTTCAAAAATGCTATTTAAAGGACACTATTCAGAAGAAAATTTACAGTAACTTAAAATGAAAAGATCATCTGAAAACATAGGGTATGTAATTTCAAAGCATAGAGACCATTTCAAAAATATCTAAATCAGCAACTCTGGGTTTTTTTAAATTTTAGTATAGTTTATATACAATATTATTATATTGGTTTCTAGTATACAATATATGATTTGACAGTTATCTACATTATTAAATGATCATCCCAACTAGTACAGCTACTGTCAACATAGAAAGATTTCGCAAAACTATTCACTATATTCTCTATGCTGTACTTTCATCCTCATAACTAACTGATATTATGATAGAGATTTTGTGCCTCTTTATTCCCTTCACCTATTTCATCCACCCATCCCAACCCCTCCCTTATGGTAACCACCCATCTCTCCTCAGTGTCTATGAACCTATTGCTGTTTTGAGCAACTGTAGTTTCATATCTTACTACTATGATGAAAAATAAGATTATCAGTGTGGAATAAAATAAAATGGTTGCCATGTTACATAACTTAAATATTCATTATAACTATCAGTAAATACCATCTATGGAGTTAACAAAATAGACAGTGCAGGTTCTAACGTAGCAATGCAAATCAAAGACTTCTTTAAAATGCCCCTGATAAATGTTGAGCATTAACACTGACCCATCTACAAGATAAAAGCTGAACTCCTCTGAAGGGGCTCTACGTCCTCTCATGATCCAGTCTGCAGCTATCTCTTCAGCCTATGTCCCACCAATCCTTGCACATAATTTACTTCCTAACACATTCCCCTAATATCACCTGTCCCTCTTACAACTTCATACCTTGGCATTTGTTGCTCCCTTTGCCTGACATGCTGTTCCTTCTTTTGAACTGCAAATATGCCCTCCTCCGTGAAGCTTTTCCTAATTACCTCAACACACTCCCACAAAGAAGCTCCCAGGCGACTCTTCATTCTACCACAGAGCACTGTAATTAATTCTAAAGTCCACTTCCCAGACCAGGCTGTGCATTCTAAACGTAAAGCCACTATCTTATATAGTTATTTCCCAGCCCCTAGCATATGCCTGGCATTACTGACACTCATTTTAAGTACATTAAAAAAAAAGAAAGTTAAGTAGTTAATTATGAAAAACAAACTTTCCTATAAAAGAGTACATACATTTAACACGGTGGTTCTCAACTGGGGGCACTTTTGTCCTGAGGGGACATTTGGTAAAGTCTGGAGATATTTTTGGTTATCACACTGGAGGCAAAGGGATTTGGGAATGCTGCTAAACATCTTACAGTAAAAAGGACAGCCCCTCACAACAAAGAACTACCCAGTCACAAATGTCAACAGAGCCATGGTTGAGAAACACAGTTGTCAACTGATTTATTCGTATGTGATGATCACATCTCAGCAACAATCAGAACAAATTCCAATTCCGCAGATTCAACTGAAACTTCTGTAATGGTTGATTTGTACGTACCAATTCTAAATTGACCTTTATATAATCACAATGCTTAACACTAACCAAGAGTACTGGAAAGCATCCCGTATTTCTGAAAACTAACCTGTAACTACCAAAAGCTATTCTTAAGTCAGTAAACACTTTTTGTTTTATTTACAAACTTTAAAGCAAACCACAAAATAATCTTCAATTGTGAGACTATGACAGAAACACAATCTGAGGCATGAGGTAATCAGTTCCTCTTGGTCCAATAAAAGAAAAATCTCTAAGTCCTACAAGTAAATCATACACAGATGTCTACTGTTAAACACAGGAACTGATGTTGAGAGTAAAGGGCATACCCTTGCTACTGCCAAAATCATCGGCTTTATCAAGATTTCAAAAAACTGACTGGAAAAAAATCATCAAATGTCAATACTGCTGGCGGGTACATAAGTTAACTATTTCTCCCCCTGCTATGTGACCAGGTCGCACATGACTTGAACATTTCACAAAGCTACGCAGGAGCAAGAACACTCCCTTTCTGTATAGTGGATGACTCAACTCTCCTTTGCACATTCCTTGCCTTAATACTACAAGTTCACTCGTTTCATTTGTCCTCTGATCTAGCATCCTACTTGCTCAGTAACCAATGGGTTTGGCAACAATCTTTCTATCATTTACATTTTGATGCACGTTATCAATTTCAAAAAGAAAAATTTTGAAAGAGCTACCCAAAACAAAAACATGAGTATAGTAACTGATAAGAGATTTTGTTATTCCAGGAACTGATTCCTCAACAATGTATCTACCGATTGCCAGTGTTCTAGTATCTCTATATTAAGATTTTTTCCAAATCTCAAATAGAGATAGCACTGGCAGAGAGTGAAGGAGTTAAGTCTATACCACTGGATAAAGCTTATTGCCGACTTATTCTTGGATAGCTCAAAAAGGTACTGAGCTGGGAGGGGAAAACGCATTTTTAATTGGAAAAAAAAAAGTTTCCAACAGTGAGTAATATCTTCCTTCCCAGCTGACTGCGAGTTAAGTGTCGGTACCATGACTGGGCCTATGCTAAGTAATGGGGTTTCACTACGTTACCCTCCAATATTGTACAGATAGGAAACCGAAGCCCTGCGTGGCAGGTGCGTATGGCGTAAAGTTGGGGGCACGATGGGCGGGGAGGGCGGGGAGGATGTCTGTTGGCAAGCGTGCCGCGATCTCCACGGGGCGTCCACCAGGCCGGTCCGGCAGACACTAACCATCGTCACTGCCGTTCCAGGACCGGGAAGGAAAGCACCGGCACCACACCCTCCCTCCGGCCGCCGGCTCGCAGTGACAGCAGCCCCGCGCAGCAGCGAGGCGCCGGGCCTGGGCGCGCTGCGCCGTTGGGCACTCGTTGCCCGGCCTCGGTCTCTGGCCTGCCGCTCCGCCGCCGCCCCACCCGCCCCCGCGGCCCGCCCCCGGGGCGGACGACCAAGGCCTAATCGCCTCCCGGCTGCGGGGCCTAGGGGTGGCAGGAGCCGCGGATGAGGAGAGACGCCTGTGCCGCCGCCTTGGCTCTTCAGCGCGGCGGCGGCGGCGCCCGCGGCCCGAGGCTCCGGCTCTCCCGCTCACGTGCTGCCCGAAAGATGGTTTCACTCTCTTACCCTCTGCAAAATCCTCCTTAACATGGCTTAACCACCACCCGGCGCCGCCGCGGTGACTCCCAGGACCCTACGCGGGGCCACTCACTACTCCGGGGTGCGCCGACGGGAGGGACTGAGCCGGGAGGGGACGAGACAGTGACGGCGGCCGCTCGGGCAGCCCCGACTTCCCCACAGGAGGCGAGAGGGAGCGCGCGAGAGCAAGCGACGAAGTAGCCGGCGAGCGCCCGCCCGCCGGGCCGCCCTTGTAACTGACAGCTGGGCGGACCTGCCCGCCGCCGCCACGCCCTCCCGGCCTGTCCATTAGTGGGGGGCGGTGCTTTAGGGAGCTCGGCCCAGGCCTGTGACCAATCGGAAGAGGCCGCTGCGTGGGCGGCAGCGTGATGGGCGGGCGGCAGGACGCTAGCGCCACCGCTCCTTCCGGTGGGCGAGGGGACGCCGCGGCCGCCGAGCACACGCCCGCGCTCCGTCAGAGGCCGCGCCCGCGCGACGATCGCGTACCCGTTCGGACCGCGGTTGGGAAGTCCAGGGACCGACCTGGGGATGTCCCAGGGCGCGAGGGAAGGAGGGCGCTCCGCGACGGCTACCTGCAGGGGCACCTCAGGCTGCTCTGTAAAATTTGTCAGAGTGACCCTGGCCTTATCCGAGTCTGGGTTGGATCCTCATTACTTTTGGAAGCGCTTCGCTTCTAGATGGAAGCAAAAGAGAGAATAAACCGACTAATCGGTTAATTGGTTAGACGCGATTAACGGGTCTCTTGGGTTTCCCTCCCTCCAGTTGTCCAATCTGGTTCCCTTTCCCTACTCCGTTCCTATTTCTAATTTCTGCCAGAGAGAAAGTAAAGAATCAGAAGAAGGTGTAAGAAGAATTGGAATTTTAGTTGACCAAGGAAGTTTGGGGTGGTTATTTTTTGATCATAGCAACAATATTTAATAGACTAATGTCGCTCACATGCCTCACTTTTTCTAAAGCCCATGCTTGGCCCATCTCCTTAGGAATATTAAATCCTATTCTGATAACAGATATATGAAGTGATTCAAGAAAATGCATCTGTTTCATAAAAATAGTAATAATGCAGGCAGATAAACAATGTGCCAAAACAAGGACATGGACTTGGGACTCACTTCCAGGCACAATGTCATTATTTAAACTAAAAAATCACAGCTCTGGAGTCCTACCACTCTGCTGGTATTCACATACCAAGAGATTGGACTTTTACCCTGAGAGGAAGAAAAGAACCTGAAGCCTACCAAGCAGTGAATGGAATGACTTCTGGAAAATGCTTCTAGATCCTTTGAAAAGATGAAGCGAATATATTTTCAAATGAGTTCATGTAAAAGTGTTTTGTGAAGTGTGAAGCATCATATTATGTACTATGTTTATGTTGTGTCTATCTCAAACATGTTGTTTTTCACTGTATTACTGCAGCAAAACAGTCATGCTATAACAAATAACATTATTAGTCACTACTGATAATGATGCACCTAAATGCTTCCAGGCTGTAACTCCTGGGGGTGTGGATATTTTCCCAGCCCGGGGCAAAATACCTTTGAACCAAAATCAAAGGGAGAAATAAAGTGGGAGAAAACCGTTTATTGCTTACAAACAGTTACCCGTGTCTCTCACAACCTGGCTGCAAAAAGGGCCACCCCCCACCCCCAGCTTCTCTGGTCCAGATATGCCCTCGCTTCTCCGTGTAATTACCTGTTGATATGGAGATAGCTACTTCTCTCCACCCCTTGGAAACACCTGTTGATATGGAGATGCACTAAGGCCAGGTGAGAGATTCTGGAAATATTGCCCACACAGGGAAACAGCAAGGTCACAATTTTCTCTTTACAGACACAATGTGCTTTAATTTCAAACAATATGGGAAGTATTTTCACTGACATAGGGAGATAAAACTGTGACATAATAAATATATATTTGGTCTCTGTCCCAAGATCCTGACACAGAACTTCTAAAACCCTTATAATTTCCTGAGTGATATTGGTGCTAGGAGTATCCTTTGTTCTAATATTTGATCATTGACACTGGTTCCTGACACCAGAGCTTCTAAGACCCTTGAAATTCTCAGGGTTATTATAAGAGTGGCTTTTGTATGCTAATTAAATGGCTAGTGTTTGGGGATCCCTAGATAGCTTTAGGATGGGGATTGATCTACAGGAAGACCAAGCCATGGTTAGAAGGTTGGACTTTTCAGTTCCACCCTGCCACCTCCAGAAGGCAAGAGGGGCTTGGAAGAGACAATCACTAGTACACAATGATTTAATCAATTATGCCTATGTAATGAACCTCTGTAAAAACCCTAAACCATGAGGTGTGGAGAGCTGAGTTAGTGAACACATCAAGGTACTAGGAGGACGATGTGCCCAGTGAGAACAGGGATCCTCCCCCATACCTTGCCCTATGCATCTCTTCCATTTGGCTGAGTTTGTATCCTTTACAATAAACCAATAATAGTAAGTGAAGTGTTTCCCTGAGTACTGTGAGCTGTTACAGCAAATTACCCAAGTGAGGAGGGTGCTGTGGGAGCCTGCAATTATAAGCCAGTTGCTCCAAAGTGGAGGTAACACCCTGGGACTTGCAGCTGGTGTCTGAAGAGGCAGGCAGGCAATCCTATGGGACTGAGCCCTTAACCTGTGGGGATTGCGCTGACTCCAGGTGGGTGGTGCCATAACTGAACTGTATTGTGGGACACTTATTTAGTGTTTAGGGAATTGGAGAATTGCTTCATGTGAAATAAAACCCTACCCATTCGGTATCAGAAGTGTTGCAGGTAGATAAAGGAAACAGTTTTTCCCACTTCAAGTGATATTTGTTTCTCTCTTGCTTTTCAAAAATGAATTCAGTTTAAAGCTGCCTATTAATGTCACATGCTGTAAGTCCAGGGAGAGGACATCCCAGGGAAAATACCTCTAAAACCAAAATCAGTCAAAGGAAGAAATTTAAAACCAGTTTATTGCTTACAAACTGCAGTCCAGGGCCATCTCTCTTTCCTGCTCTTGCAGAAACAAACCAGCACTCCCCCTCACCTCTCATGTTCACATAAACCCTCCTTTGCCCAGGTAATTACCCACTGATATGAATATGAACTCTTCTCCACCCCTGAGGAATGCCTATTGATATGCAAATGAAGCCAATAGGTCTCTCCACCTCTAAGGATGCACTAAAACCAGGCAAGATATTCTGGAAATATTACTATTTTACCCACGAATTTTAGTCCAGCAGGTTTATTGCTAAACCTGAGAGGGACCCCTCTGTCCTGACCAGCAGAACAAAGGAAAAAGAGAATCTCTTAACAGGTCAAGAGGCTTTTTATGGCCAGTGCTTTGGTGGGCTCTTTGAGGGGAGGGGCCAGGGGAAAGGTGGGCTTGTGGCTTGCTGATGTGTCCTCTGGAGAATGCTTGTAGTCTAGGTAAGATGACACCGAGGTCTCTTTATCCCATCACTTCCTCTTCCTCCAGCCAATCCATCTGAATATCATGACACATCTACCTCCAAAATATATCCTAAATCTGCCCTTTTCCCCCATTTTACTCTAGTCTATAGCACCTTCTTCATGTCCTGTCCAGACACTAGAATAGTTTACAGGTTCTTCTCTATGCTTTTACATTAGCTTTCCTATAATCCATTCACTACACAGTAACTAGGAACAACTTTTAAAAATGCAAATCAAATAATGTCACTGCCATCTCTTGCTTGTAACTTCCCATCACAATCATAAGATCCAAATGCCTTATCCTAGCTGACACCTGATTAGATCTGGCCCTGTCTGCTTCTCTGCCTTCCATTTACAGCACTGTCTGGCTTACTATACCCGAGTCTCCCTGAACATTTATTCCTCAGCTGCACAAACCTTAATCCTGTCTTTGAACCAAACAGTTCCTATTTAGGAAATGCTTTTCCTTGAAATTTTGTGGTTAATTTTGTGGCATTCAAACTGTACCTTAAAAGTCACCTCTTCAGATATATCTTCAAGGATATCTAAAGTTTTGTCCAATCTATCACATATTCAATTTAATTCTTTGCATAGCAGAGAAAACTACCATTTCTGACTTTTGTCAATTCTCCATTTATGTCCTTCTAACAAGAATGTAAGTTCCCTGAGTGGAAGGACCTTGATTCTTGCTCACTGCTGTATCCACAATCATTAAAACTGTGCTCAATCCATGGTTAGCAATAAACAAATATTTGTTGATGAATGAATGAAGGAAGGAAGGGAAGAGGGAAAGAAGGAAACTGTTGTAGCTTGAATGTTTCTGCCCCCTCAAAATTCATATGTTGAAATCCTAACCCCCACAGGTGATAGTATTAGTAGGTGGGGCCTTTGGTAAGCAATTAAGTCATGAGGGCAGAGCATGTTCTTTTATAAGAACACACTAAGATTAAATAATAATAATAATGCCCTTAATATACATGTGACAGTCAAGGCCAACCCTCTTGCATTTAAACCACAAGTTGGTGGCGTTCAAGAGAGACCATGGAATCACATAGAGGTGGCAAAACAAAAATTCCCATGTATGATAATAGGGCGGAACTCTTAGGTCTCCAGTCATACACAGAAAGTTCATAGTTGGGACTTTCTGACATGGTAGACTTCTCATTCCGCATGAGTTTTTTTAAACCACACATTCTGAGAACTAGGAAAACAGTGGGGAGCTAGGGTAGCTCATCTTTTTAATCTTGTGAATATTCTTTACGTTGCCTGTTTGCAAAAAATAAAAATAAAAAATCAGTAGCAAATCAATAAATGGTACAACTGGTTATCCATATGGTAAAAAAAATTGAAAATTGGGTTTATAGTTTATACCATATATAAAATGAACTTTAGACAGATGAAGGAAATAACTGTGAAAGACAAAGCCTTTAACTTTTAGAAGATAGTATCATGTTTTTATGACATTGGCATAGACAAGGATTTCTCAAACATATACAGGAATATATCAATACATTTAAATCCATTAAAATGAAGAATTTAATTTATTAAAAAATAAAGTAACTGAAAAGACAAGCCACAGTCTGAGAGAAGAGATTTATAACACACGTGACAGACAAAATGCTAATACCCAAATATGGAAATGGACAAAAGACATAAATAGGAATTTCACAGAAGAAACTCAAATATCAAATTAAATGTGAAAAAGTGCTCAGTCTCTCTAGGGATGCAAACTTAAAC